CACACACACACACACACACACACACACACACACACAGGTTTGTTTTTGTGAAAAGTAGGGACATCCCATAGGTGTAATGGTTTTTATACTGTACAGACCGTATATTCTATTGCCCTACACCAACCCTACCCCTAAACCTACCCCTCACAGGAAACATTGTGCTATTTCAGATTTTCAATACACTCCATTCTGTGTGATTTGTAAGCGTTTTGAAAAGTGGGGACATGGGGTAATGTCCTGAAAAGTCACCTTCTCCTTGTCATACCTGTCATACCTTTGTCATTATACAAATGTATGTCCTCATTTGTCACAAAAACGCGCACTCGCACGCTCGCACACACACACACACACACACACACACACACACACTGTGTGTGTGTGTACGTGGCTACATTCATGCATGGTATAAAGGTCAAATGACAACAATAGGACAACAATAGTTTTTCAAACCAATAAATTCTCGATTAAATACTTTTTTATATATATAGGCCTAGACAGTACTGATCAGCAGAGTAATCTCATATCGAGTATAAAGCAGCTAAATGGTTTGAATCATATGCTGTCAGTCTTTAATCTGAGGGGAAGGGCAGGCTGCTAACACGTCACAGAATGGGCGTTTCCTCGAGCGTGACAGTCTAGTGCACGCCAAACTATGAAGCGCTTTTTCCTTTGAATTTTCCAGTTTTTCTTTTCATCTGCAGCGGGAAAGTGACCAATGAAGATAATATGGGGAATACCCTTGTCTGTGTAGTGCTTTATCGTTATTTCATCCTCTTGCGTTCCGCCTGTTAAGTTTTTTTCCGCCAGCGCTTGTGAACTGACGACAAGTGTTTGCTGCTGAATAACACAATAACACATTAACAATGTCAAGTGTGAAGGCTTGGCCACTGCTTCTACTGCCGCTTTCACTGCTCTCGATGGGGACAGGTGAGCTGCTTTTCCTTACCTTTGACTTCAATTAAAACGTGTTGAATGTTAGTTTTTAAACCCAGTCAGTCGCTCAACGTGAGAATATTTCAGTACATTGAATTAATGCAGTTGCTTGAACAGATGCTGCTAAACCACGAGACAACCTTGGGTTGGGTTGATCTTTTACTTTGAATTGAATTTTTAAATAGAATCTCGAAAGTTAATAGTAGCCAAGTGTAAAAATAGCATTCTGAAAACTACAGATATTGGAGCTTTCCTGTAGGTGGACCCACAATAAAATTGTCAAGTGCAAAAATGGAATGACTTCTAATAAAAATAAAATGCTTTAAAAGGGGAAAGTACTGCCGAGATGTTGAGGGTGTAAGTTTTTTTTATTTTTTTTTAATTTAAGTCTCTTATGCTCACCAAGACTGCATTTATTTGATCAAAAACACACTAAAGACAGTAATTTTTTTTTTCATTTAAATGTTTTAGTTTTGAAATGTTGTTGTACGCATTTGTCATTTTTATTTAATTTATTTCATTTTCTTAAATGTGTGTATATATATATATAGTATTTACAGAGTTTTAGCTTTTAGTTTTAATTACTTTTTCTTATTTGTAAGAAAAATCACCTTCTCGTTGTAATACCTATGTCATACCCATGTTATTATACTAATTTGTGTCCTCATAAACCACAAACTTTGGACTAAAATCTATTATTGTGGTTGTTTTAGCAGACTGTCCGTTTCCTGTTTTGAATGGCAAATTTGTCTTGTCATCGGAATCTATACTGAAGAATAGCTTTCCGGACAATTCAGTAGCGTTTGTGGAATGTGCTAAAGGATATGTGAGAAAGGAAGGTTCGACTTCCATCACCTGCCTGAATGGGGTCTGGAGTGCTGTGGAATTAATCTGCAAAAGTAATTCACTTTTGACTTCTAAATTGGGATGTTCCCCTTAAAAGAAAAAGTATCAAGTATGTGTTGTACTAAACTGCTGTTTGCTTTCATTTCAGAGATAGACTGTGGAGAACCTACACATTCACCGCATATGAGCTATGTCATCTCAGATGGAACATTGTTTGGTGCCTACATAAAAACCAAATGTGAGACGGGGTAAGGACTGTTGCGGCCTCTGCTGTCCATATTGCACTTATACTTGTAATTGACTTTTTTTTGTCTTTAATCCAGATATGATCTGGAAGGATCAAGCCACAGGCAATGTCTTGTTTCTGGCTGGAGTGGAAAGGCTGAATGTATATGTGAGTCCTCATCTTTGGATAGATGCATATCAGTGTTATTTTAATATTTTGGAGACATTATGATAGTTTTTATTAATATTTTAAATGAATTCGATACATTTTTCTGTTTTAATTTTAATTTTAAAGTTTTAGTCATTTTGATGTGTTTTCGTCATTTTTATTCTTTTTTTTATATATATTTATATAGTTTTTAATAATTATTCTTTCAGTTTTAGTTATTTTAATACATCAAGTTAAACTAATTGAAAATGAAAACATTGCCTGGGCAACTTGTTGAAATAAAATACGTTTACATTTTAATTTAGTTCATGTTTATTTTATTTTGAGGAAACATTTTTTTGCTTTTTTAATGATTTTAGTTTACTGTAATAACCCTGATGAACGTTCAGTATCAACGTCAATGTTGTCCAGAGCAACTTCAGTCAGAGGTGTTGTAACAGCTTCTCTTTCACCGTGTCTTTTATAGTGACAACATGCAATTTGCCAGATCCAATTGAACATGGCAAGATGAATGCGCCCAGAGGCAAACCTGAGTTTAATGATGTCATTACATTTTCCTGCGATGATAACTACATCCTTGTTGGAAACAGCTCCATTACATGTGGTGAATACGGGGATTATAGTTCACCACCTCCGAAATGCAAAGGTCAGTTTTTACTCCAGTAAATTCCAAGCGTAAAATTAATCACATTAATTTTTGTACTAGTTAGCTGCATTGAATGACAGTGGGAAGCTCCACCCACAAACAATATCATTGGTCCAGCATCTAGCTCCACACACTGTTGATGTGTATAGAATGAAGCAGTCTTCAAGATCTGACCCGTGATCAGTCTGAGCATGTATTATTTTGGACTCAATCGCCAGTGTTGCAGCACCATCAGGGCACAGCATGCTAGAACTGGTGGAGTTCAGCCTGATGAACTCATCCTGCTATTCTTGCACAGCATAGTTGCATTGCATTGCCCTTTCACTTTATTGTATTTTATTGTTTTGTCCCCCAATTGATCTGTTTATTTATGTTCGCTCGCATCTCAAGGTAACCTTCTACCTGAAGGTCCCCTTCTTCTTGTTCAGCAGGCCTTTTGCGATTTATGGATTTTTTGTCTTAGTTATATATGCTGAAGTGATCTGTAATAGGGAGTCTTCAGTGACTCACTGCTCATACAGAATCATCTCAGCCTTATGTTTCCACTTCATCATAGTCCTGGTGGTGTCAGGCAGTTGTAGAATTATGTTTCTAGGGAGGAGATGTATCATTCTGTGGAACCATCATGGTGCAGATTGGGGAGTATCAGATAGCTGTGTCTGGCAGTGCTGGAAGAATTTTATACAAAATGCAGTAAAACACAAGTTGGAGTGTTAATAGTGAGAAGAGTAGAAAACTTTTTAAATGAACCAATCACTTTTAAGTTTCATTAGCCAAAGTGCAGAACCTTTTTTGTTTTCTAATTTAATGTTTACTTAAAAAAAAATCATTACATTGGAATAATAGTAAATGGCATGTGTTATAATAAACACTTATTTTATGACAATCTGAATATATATACTGTATATGCTCAGTTTTGTGATCAAGTGGCTTATACATTTTTTTACATTATATATATATATAGTACACCTGATATTGAACAACTGATTAATTAAAAAAATCGAATATATCTATAAAAATATTGCTCAAACCAATCATCTGTCTGTTATTTCAGTAATGGTTAAAGCAGACATTTTTCTGTAAATGTTTCTTTCCAGGGAAACATTCTTTTATAATCTTGGATTATAAAATGCTTTGGAATCTTGTTTTGAATTTTTATTGGGTTCACTTAACATTACTGAAATGCCATGCATGCTGCAGTTTGCCAGATGTCTTGAGATGTGGTTTCAGTACTATATTTTGCATATTACAATCTGCCAGTATTTACTTCTTAACAAAAATATTTTCCTTTTGTTTAGCTTTTTGTTTTATCAACTTTAATCAAGTTTCCTTTCTATTTCCAGCTATTGAATGTCCAGTTCCTGAAATTAGTTTCAGTACCCAGACTGAAGGAAATCCTCCATACTCTTTTAAATGTGAAGCCACGTTTGAATGCTGGCCAGGTTACAGGATGAAAGGTGTAGCTACATCAGTGTGTGAAAAGAGTGGCTAGTTTTTCCCTGACTGGGCTGTTATATGACTTAGAATGTTTCAGAACTCAGAATGCATGAAACTATTGCAGAACCACTGCATTTTAATCACTATCCAAACAAAGATGCTGCATGAGCAGTTTTTGATTTAAATTAGATTGTAAAATTTTACAATTTAAAGCAAAAACAGAATGGTCTGACTTTAGCTTTGTGAAACTATACTACATAAAACATCTGCATGAAACAAAAACAGCAGATGGTCTGAATGAGAACTCCGATTCACTCTCTGCCAGCAGGTGTAAACCGCAGGTGTTTACCGCTGTAAACAAAGCAGCGCTGCGCTTATAAACACTACTGTAATATGCACTATACAGAAGCAAGACGAAATGAAAATACCATCAAAACGTTTCTAAAGACAGTCAGTTCCCCTCAGAAATACATTCATATACAGTAAACCCCCACTCCCAGTTCAGTATTTAATATAATAAAATATGAAACAAATTTGATGATGATGGGCGTTCCAGTTCTTCAGAAATCTGTGGATCTTTCTCCAGTGGTTTAGCATGCCATATACATTGTTCAAGTCAACTGAATTGTCTAGATGTTTATGCAACATGTGGAATGTTGAATTGGAGAAGATGGCAAAAGCAGATAACGACATATTCATATATTTGTTTTCAGCCATCACAGCACCAACAAAAGCAAGCACTACCACAAACAAAGCCACAACAACAGACATGACAACAGCCTCCAGCCGTTCACATGGTAAGGAGTCCAGCACTTCCTGCATGAAACAAAAACAGCAGACGGTCTGAATGAGAATGCAGATTCACTCTCTGCCAGCAGGTGTAAACCGCAGGTGTTTACCGCTGTAAACAACGCAGCGCTGCGCTTATAAACACTACTGTAATATGCACTATACAGAAGCAAGACGAAATGAAAATACCATCAAAACGTTTCTAAAGACAGTCAGTTCCCCTCAGAAATACATTCATATACAGTAAACCCCCACTCCCAGTTCAGTATTTAATATAATAAAATATGAAACAAATTTGATGATGATGGGCGTTCCAGTTCTTCAGAAATCTGTGGATCTTTCTCCAGTGGTTTAGCATGCCATATACATTGTTCAAGTCAACTGAATTGTCTAGATGTTTATGCAACATGTGGAATGTTGAATTGGAGAAGATGGCAAAAGCAGATAACGACATATTCATATATTTGTTTTCAGCCATCACAGCACCAACAAAAGCAAGCACTACCACAAACAAAGCCACAACAACAGACATGACAACAGCCTCCAGCCGTTCACATGGTAAGGAGTCCAGCACTTCCTGCATGAAACAAAAACAGCAGACGGTCTGAATGAGAATGCAGATTCACTCTCTGCCAGCAGGTGCTTACCGCTGTAAACAAAGCATTATACAGAGGCACGACGAAATGAAAATATCATCTAAACTCTCTTGAAAACAGTCAGTTCCTCTCAGAAATACATTCATATAAACCCCCACTCCCAGTTAGACTATAGCCCTAATGGACACTGTTCAGTGAAGCTACGTGAACACAAATAAATTGCAGCAGACGTGACTGAATATGAATCTGTGTTGATATCATAACAGTGTTCATATATCGAAGCTGGAGTCTTTAGTCTTTCTAATGACACTCTGTTTGTCCAGATGAAGTAAGAGTGTGATGTTTTAATGTGCTGTGAATGTGAAACAACAGTAATCTGAAGCCGCCTGTGAACTTTGCAGGTTAAGTTAACAGTTAACTCTCAATTCACGATTCTGTCTACGTTGCATAGGCACTTTGAACCGGTATATCGTCCAGCACTAGTAATGGATGGGAATTTATTTTCCAAGATGTGCATTCATGATATGAGAGATAAGTAGGCCTGTACAGAATCTGCAGCATTTCCTGCACTGATTTCAAGGGAAACTCTGCTGCATTGTACTGATTTCAACATGGAAAAACATGTTAGATGGAGCTGAGAGTACTGCACTTGTACTGGTAGCTTAAAGCATCATCAAATTAGATACAATATGAAACAAATTTGATGATGATGGGCATTCTAGTTCTTCAGAAATCTGTGGATCTTTCTCCAGTGGTTTAGCATTCCATATACATTATGTTCAAATCAACTGAATTGTCTAGATGTTTATGCAACATGTGGAATGTTGAATTGGAGAAGATGGCAAAAGCAGATAACAACGCATTAATTTTTTTTTCTGCCATCACAACACCAACAAAAGAAAGCACTACCACAAACAAAGCTACAACAACAGACATGACAACAGACAAGACAACAGCCTCCACCCATTCACATGGTAAGGAGTCCAGCCCACAAGTGGTTTTTTTTCCTTCAGTTTTCACACTTGTTATGGATATGCTGTAATGGTTATTTGATGATGTATTTTATTGTAGGAGGATTTATAGAAGCGCTCACTACTGTCTCTATGAGTGAGTCATCCTTTAAATCCAATGATACTGTACTGAATTAAATGTCTGACTACATCACCCTCAGGGAAAGTAATATGGTTACTGTGGATGGAGGTGACTAGTTTGTCGTACAACATATGTCACCATATTATATAACAGTCAGTGATGATAATGGCTTATTTTGTCTTGCTCAAGTTCCAAATAAGAGAAGCGATCACTACTGTAACTGAGGGCCACCACATACTGTATCTATTGAATGTTTATTTCCTTTTGTTCATGTGTCTCACTGTTTCTAATAACACAACTGATCTTGTGGGTCTTGTAGGTGCCTTGGCGATTATAGCTGTTGTCTGTAAGTATATGAATTATTTGGATTGAGCTATGTACAGTATAGATAGTGTAGTATATATCATTCATTTTGGGGTCAGTAAAAGTGTTTTTTAATGCTTTTTCATTTAATTTTATTCAGCAAGGATGCATTAAATTAATCAAAAGTGACTGTAAAGACTGTAAATAAATGCTCTTCTTTTGTACATTTTAGTAAGAATCCTATCACGGTTTCCACAAAAATATTAAGCAGCATTGAAGACTGGAGTAATGGCTGCTGAAAAAAAATAAGATTTGCATCACAGGAATAAACTGCATTTTAAAATATTTAAAAATAGAAAGCATAACGGTAAATTTGTAATAATGTTTCACAATATATACGTTTTTAATGCATTTAAAAAAAATAATAATGCAGCCTTGGTGAGCATAAACTTTCAACAATGTAAAAAAATTTATCTTCTTGACCCCATACTTTTCAATGGTATGGTGTCATGCTTTGGTGTCATTGATTGTGATGCACAGCTGTTCTTGACCCCATTCCAAAGCATTTTTAAATAATATCTTCTTACTCTCATTCTTTACAGTGTGTGGGATTTTGGGATATCGTCATTTAAAACACAAAGGGTGAGTATATCTCTAAACAGTTGATTTAAAGTCACTCTAGCGCAGCTGAGCTAAGCATGGCCAACTTTCACTCCACTTCAACTGCATGGTGTTGTACACATGCATTCCTCCATTCATTAACATCATGTTTTCTTTTGCCTTTTCCTGCCAAGAATCTTTTTCCATCTTTTCATATGCTGTTGCTTCATGATGAGGATGGACAAAAAATACACACACACTTTGATTCATGTTTTTACTATCAATCAGAACTCTAGCTGTCCTTGTGCTTGATTTGTGGCTGTGGTAAACTGTTAATTGTTCAATTTGTTCAAAATAGTTTGATTCTCTTGCACAATGACAGAAGAAGTGCTTTTGGGCTAATAAAGCTTATACAGTAACAAAGAAAATAAAGTGTGACCCACTGTACTGGTTTGAAGGAAGACTGTAAAAAAGTAGGTTAAAAAAAAACACATTTTAATTAAAAGGTGTGCTGTCACAAAGGAAAGGCTGGTCTGGTGCTTCTTGCAAAATGACAAAAATAGCTATGCAGAGCTAATGTCTGACCAGATACTAATTACACCTAAATAGCATGCAGAGCGGATGGCTAATTGAATATTAACAAAAAATGAATGTGTCCAATAAATAATGTATATTATAATGACTTTATCTCCTCTTGTTTGATAATGCGGCATAGTTCATACAATACTGGTGAAGAACTGCGGACAAAAGAAGAGTTATTGCTAAATCAAAGTGTTTAAACTCAAGGTATCCACCCATATCTAAATCTTTATTAGCTAAATATGATTTTTTTCTGTTGTCATGACTTCATCACAGACTAACACACTCATTAGTTGTGAGTTAGTTCTGGCATTAGTTGCAAAGTAGTCTCAATTAATTATTCTTAATGTGTTATTGTGTCATGTTTATTGTCCTTGATGCATTTTCTCTGGACTCTTAACCACAGGGCAAACAATCGGACGGCTCCTTTGCTTTAGCATTGTTCCTGCACATGGATTCATTGACGTTTAAACTTTGTTGTAATTTATAAACTAGATTTTGTATTTATTTATAACTGCTACAAAATGTTTTGCTTTTTAGAAATATATTAGTTATTGATAAAAACACAAGATGATATTTTTGTATATTTGAATAAAGATTTTTTTTTAAAGTACTCTTTGGGTGTGTTTCTTTTCCCCACAGCGTGACTAAATCCTGACCTCTGAATTTCCACATCTTGTTACCAAGAGCCCACCCAAAAGAATCTCTGGCATGTTTCCACTTGTGTGCTTTCACCTTTTAAAAGTGCAGTTTTAGGGAGACATTGGAAAGTGAGATATTGACAGTGTGCCACAGCCGGGTCAGATTTTCTGTGAGCATATGGTGACCGGAAACCTGATCCTAAATGAGCAAACGTTTCTAATGTGAGTTGTAATCATTTTTCACTGCCCTTTCAAAAGTATTCCTTTTACATAAGCAGTAGACCACACAGCAATGTGGTTACCAGGACAATGGCAGAGAGAGTTTCTGCTATTCAAGCCAAATACTTCATCAACTGGAAAATCATTTTGACATTGTGCTCTATACAGAGACCTTGGCCAAACCCATGAAAGCAAAGAGAAACAAAAAAATAAATAAAACCATAATGATCAATTCTTACAGTTTTTTTTTTTAATCTATAAATTTTTTTTTTAAATTGCTAAATATAAAAACTCGGTGTGGGTGGTTGCTTTTTTACCAAGTCGAGTCAATTGTTTTCACCCGTTTCATCTATTTCCTGGGTGAAAATTTTAAGTCTGGTCTCTTAGAAAGGTAATAACTTGCTTCTCGTAAACATTTTTGTATGGTTTGAGGTATCGTTCGTGTGTAGCACAAACATTGTTATTACAAAGATATTGAAGTGTAAAATTAAGTTTGTTTAATAAAATGTTAATATTGCATAAATGTGTTTATGTATTACCTTAATAATAAAGGTTTTATAGTTGTTTTATGAGTTTGGTTGTAAGTGGATGATATAAATATGTGAATATTTAGTTACACAACAAGTTCATTTAACAAGTTAAGTTAATTTTCCTTATGGAGATGTAAAAAAAAAAAAAATCTAATTATTGTTTATTTATGTTTTGGTGGTGGGTATTATTAACACGTAAGAAAAAGTGGAATGAAAAGAAAGAAGAAAACAATTATATCCTTATAAAAGAAACGTTTATTGTAGATTGAAGTTTGAAGCGTATTAAATATAAAAAACAGAATATAATAAAAAGTTAGTGAACTTGCCAGCTGTGTAGAGATAGTTAGCAGGACAATGTACCGTCACAAACGGCAAAGAATGTGGTGGTTTCTGAAGTTCTTATGGTGTCACTGACACTTTTTTTTGTTTTGCTGATCACATACAAGGCTATTCTAAGCTTTTAACTTGGAACAACAAACCCATTATCGGAGTTAAATCTTCTCAGTAGGTCTAGCTGTCTCGTAGTAACCCAGATCTTTTGTTCTATGCTTGAGTAAGCATCCTCATTTACTCTAGACTGTGCAACACTGCAGTCCGAGGGCCTATAACTGCGTCATCTGGGAGGAGACGGTGAAGTGAAGAATTACAGAGAGAGATTTAACCATTAAAATCAGGCCAAATGGTGTGTAATCAAATATATTTAAGAATAGCACATATGTCATCATCTTGGAAAAGTCACATAGACTAGAACTGGAGATGATTCATTGTTTGGGTGGATGCTTGGCAGTAAATTGTTAATGAAAGGATATTGAATGGAGGCGTATTTACTCGTGCTGTGGTGGTACTAAACACAATCACAAGGAGTATGTCAGCTCTGACCAGTAACTGCTTTATTTACAGGGTCATCCAGTAGCAGGACATTTAATAAGTTGCCCAGTTTATGCATAGACTCTACTTCTTGTTCAAACGGAAGGTTTTATGAGATATTGTGTTGTTGTTTTTTATTGTTCTCTTAAAATTATACATCGATATAAAAGATTTTCCTGGCAGAAAGGAAATGTGCATCCTTGTTATTCATTCATTTGACCTAAGGTTATCCCAAAGAAGAAGGCAAGCGCTACTAGCATTTGTCATTGATGAATGCAGCACATTTCCTGGGCCTCAACCCCACAACAAGCTCACATTTAGTACAATATCCCTCATATTGTGGACAGACAAAAAGTTGGGACTTTTTCAGATTACATTTTAATGAGACATACAAAAAAATCCCCGTCTGTCTAAAGAAAAATTGGGATCTTTGTTGGTGCTGACTTGTAAACAACAGCTAAAAACAGAATATGCTAAACAAGGGTTCTCAAAGCTGCATGGGATCATTTAGTGTTGGTCAATCAGCTGCGTCTACATTAGAATACATCCTGTTTTAATGGTGACCGTGATTTCGCCAAGTACAACATGTTCCTGGATCAACATCCTTGTTGATCCTGGAACAACATTCTAATTAACCAATCAGAATTAAGGGATAACTTTTCAGGAAATGTCTGTTTTAGGCTTACGATCAGAGTTAGGTGCTTCTACACCCTTGTTAATCAGCTATCATTTCCCACTGATTTTAGGAATACTTTCTGGGTAGGGTTAGGTTTAGGGGTAGGGATTGGGTTTCTTGAGAAGTGGGACAAAACAGGGTGCAAAATTAAAAAAATTAAACCTTGTACCCAGACAAATGAAACTACATTTATGTATCTTATATGTCATTCTATTATTAATCCCTCATGACATTTAAAATTGAAAATATATATATTTTTACAGCTAATAGCAGTTACCCTTGCTGGACCTGTTTTGTCCCATGTCTCAAGAATGACTATTTTTGGACAGTAATGTCTTACTTGGCAAAATCACGGCGACCCTGTTTTAATATAGCCATTAGACCTGGAGGAGTCGCCTATTTGAGGAGAATCGTATTCACGCATGTCTGTTTTTGGAACCGTCTGTCTGAGCAGAGCGCGTTTTGAGGGCGCACAGTGACATCTAGCGGTGAAGGGCTGAAGGGGGGAGTTACGTGGCGAGTAGCGCCAAGATGACGTCACCAGTTCCTACCTGAGCTGAACCGAGCTCGAGCAGATTTATTGGCCTTTAGTTGAATCTCCTCTTTCCCTGTGGAAAAGAGTCGATAAATGGCCCGTTTCGCACACTGTAGTAGTGTCATTTAGAGCAGTGGTTCCCAACCCTGGTCCTTGAGGCACCCCAAAACTGCATGTTTTGCATGTCTCCTTAATCAAACACGCCTGATTCAGGTCATCAGCTCATTAGTAGAGACTCTCCAAGATCTGAAATTGGTGTGTCAGAGAAAGGAGACATGCAAAATGTGCAGTGTTGGGGTGCCTCCAGGACCAGGGTTGGGAAACACTGATTTAGAGTACACACGTGTGCCATGGTGGAATAAAACACATATTCGGTTGACGTTTGGACTTAAGTGTTGACCTTTTATATTAAACGTAGATGTAAGCTACATTCTTAAAATGATTGTACAACATTTGCCAAATGGTACGGCTGGTGCCGCAGTGGAGGTCCAGAACAAGCTGGATGTATCAGGTAATGAACGTGAACATATCTAACTTGTCACATGAGCTGTAAACTTATCCTGACAGCAAACGGATAAATAAAACTCTTTCCAAGCAGGCGTTCCAAAAAGCTATTTCCGATTCATGAGTGAATAGTCAGATCTTTGCGATGAATCGGTTGAACTGGTTTCATAAAATCTGTATGAATTATTCTTTCGGTATCACAGAACCGATTTTCGGAAATGATTCGAACTTTCCATCACTGCTTTTCCATTTTCAAACAGGTAGTTGCCTACCCAAACTCAGTCGTTGGTTTAGATTGAAGCCGCTTCTGAAATTTCTGATAGGCCAGAACACAAGTATTATTTTAAGTATTTTAAAAGTGATAAAGTCTGCACGTTTCTGTAACACTGCTGTTCAGAAGGATTAACATACCATGGAAAGGTTACAACAGAGGCCCTATTAAGACTGTTATGTTGCCTGCTAATTGTAGCCTATTGGATTGGGGGAAAAAAAACTTGTAGCACTTAGTAAGAATAAATTAGTTTTATTTAATGTATACAACTTATGCAAATCAGACATGCAAAGACATTGATCACAAACATTGCAGTAGTCAACACCATTTAGGACTCCCGTGTGATGTCAGGACCGACCCAAGAACACTGATTTCAAATGGTGCTAGATGCCATAAAGTACTCTATGGCACCATCTGAACTCAGCTTCCAGGAGCAGCATAGGAGGAGATGGCACTGGAAAACAAAGTACAACACAGACACATACTAAATAGCTTGTAAACTTCACATTCTGTCAAGATAGTTTGTTCTGATCCATACATTCTTTTAATAGGATTTATTTCTGTGCAACTATGTTAAAACGTGTTCCCTAAAAGTAGGCCTATGCAGTGTGTTTATGTGCTCCACTACTGCGTATACCCAAGAGTAGAGTTATTATTTTTGAACTACTGCAGACCCGAGTCGATAGAATGAGTGCAAAAGAAAAATATAGGGAGTGACCAGGAGGGAGGGAGAGCATTTGTTCACAAGTTTCTTTTTCACTCAAGTACATCAGTTTATTCTTGGTTTGCTGCCTCTGCGCACCTGACTGCTTGTGTAATGCTGATCCAGCTCTTAAAGGGAAAGGCATCTTTATTGAGGCACAGAACCTGCCATTTAAATGGGGTGGAAAAGAGAGAGAGAGAGAATATTGCAGTGAAATATACAGTCAGCAGATTGCAAACAGTTAAGGCATGCAGTATAGTGTGTGTGTGTGTGTGTGTGTGTGTGTGTGTGTATAT